ACACCCACACTTGCAGATAATATCCACTTAACCTGGCTTCAATGACTGGATGATCAAAGCTCAATTAGAAGAAGAAAGAAGAGGAAAAGAAGAGTAATCTGATACAATTTGATGAACTTAACCTACACCTATGGATGCAGTAGCTCAAAAGAGGGAACAAATCTTCACAGCAAGGATCATTCCTACCCCGTCCATACACAGAGTAGATAGGGATGGGCAACTTGGACATTGGCTATACAAAATGTGGGGGCTACAAAGGCAAGAAGTGACTGGCTTACAAGCTTTCAAGAGGGAACCTAGATTCAGAGGGCGTGGAGAAGGTAGAATCTCCACTGAGTAGTATCCAATCTGTCTAGGTGGGGCTGATGAAATGAAATGAAATGCGGATGGGTCTCTTGTGATACAATAGTGAATAACTTATCAGGACTGATTGTGAGGGTTGGAAATGTAAAGGTAGACATTTTGTAGGAAAGAGGGGAGTGATTAACTTTTCAGTCTAGGAGTGGAGAACCCTGGGACCATCAAGGGAGAAGAGCGGAGAGCGGGACCCTACCCAGAGAAACAGTGATGCCAGAGATGGAGGCAGAGATGATGATGTCGAGAGATGGAGCGGCTGGGGACTTTAGACACAGAGAGGGAGAGGGGCTGTGTGCTGAGGACTGGGGTGCAGGCTTGTAGTGTATACCCTTTGGTTGGTTGATGATGCATGGAGGGGATTATAACCATGGCAATGAAACGCGATAGGATGAATGTAAAGCTAATGTTCTCCCATGTAAACTATCACATAATTCACAATAAAACATTAAAAAAAAAAGACTATGGCCTACAGGGTCACCATGGATTGGAATCCTAATCTCACCTCAGCCACTTAGTCCTAGGATTGTATCTCAATTGTTCTTGTCTGTGATAGAATCTGATACCTAAAATGTGGAAGCGATTTTGTAATTTGATAATGAGTAGCAGCTGGAAGAGTAGTAAGGTGGCTAATATAGTATGCTCCTAGATTGCCAAGAAGAGACTGTTGGTGAAATTATGGATGTTAAAGGCATATCTGACAAGGGTTCAGAGGAAAATCAGGAGAACTGCAACACTGGAGATAGCACAGATGGTGAGAAGCAGCATCAGAGAAAATGTAGCAGCAGGACCAGGAGACTGACAAAAGACAGTACTGGAGACAACCCATGGAACAAGACAGCTGAGTGCTTTTAGATCAAGGCTTACTGGTGGAATGAGGTGCTTTGGGGCACCTATCAGTAGAGCTGAAGAGCTTCATATTCTATTGAATAGAATAGAGGCCATGCTGGCCTCTTCTAGAGACCCAGAAAACAGGAATCTGAAGCTTAAGAGACAAGGAATATATGGCTTAAAAGACGAGGAATATGGGAAGCACAGCTGCTTTGTTCTCTACAGGGAGGGACAAGACTCTGGGTTCAAAAAGGTTGGATCCATGGTCTCTAAGGTTGCTAAGGTTGAGGCCAGTTTCCTGTTTCACAGCTGGATCTTCTTCACCAACTTGGTTCTGGAGTGTGGGGCTACCATTAAGACAAAGCCTCTTCCCAAAGCAGAGGAGGTGGGGCTACCATTACTGAAAGTGTAGTAGCAGAAGAATAGGGCCTAAGGGGTGCAGGTCACCATTCAAATGACCAGGAAAATGTGGCTGCCCAAAGTCAAGGGAGCAGAGTTGCTTTTCCAGTGGGCCCTGGAAGGCAAAGCTGAAATTCATGGTTGAGGGTCCTCTAATCAGAAACTATATATAGTTCATGGCCAACACCCAGAGTTTAGAGGGGAGAACCACTGCCTAGATGACCTCAGAGAACTATTTGCAAGCCTTGAGAGCTAAAGTAAATTGTTGTGTTAGACTTTTAATGGATGAATCCATTATCCCTTCTGTCTCTCCAGTTGCTCCCACCCATCTGTAATGGGAATACCTACCTTTTGCCTGTTCCATAATTTTATCTGGAAGCAGATAACTCATAGTTGAGATTCAAAGATGGAAGAAGAATTCTGCCCTATCTATCAGTACACAGTAACCAAATTTGGACTTGGAAGAATTTTTTAGATAATGCATGAGGTTCGTGTATTTTCAGTTGTATTTGTGTTAGCTGTAGCATATTAGGCACAAGTATGAATCTATAATTATCTTTATTTAGAGATCATGTATGGTTTAAGGAAATGTGTGCAGGTGCCAAGTTGGCAAGGGTGGACGGCAATAGTTAAAGTTTTGTGTCAACTTGTGCCAGGATTCTCAACAGTTTAGCTTAAGATGTAGTAATCACCCTTGATGAGATCTGCTATGAGCAGTCAATCAATTGAAAGGAACTTTCCTAGAGGGTGTAGCCTGCAACACTTTTTAAATAAGAGCTAAAAGGAGAGATAAGTGAACGGAAAAGGAGAGGGACCTATTACCATAGAGAAAGAGATGCTGGTAGCTAGCAGTGAAGTGCATCCT